TTTTTCCACTCACTTCAGGAGCAGTGGGAAGGAATGTAATCAGTCCATTCAGAGAGAATTTCCCTAGTTCAGAAAAAAAAAGGGTTTGCTGTGGTTTTAAAGAACATGGCAGAACCCTCTAAAGCCAGAGCCCTGGCGTGGCAGGCAGATGTGGAAAGGGCTGCTGAAGCAGTTTGACAGTGAGATGGAGATGTGGGGTTGCTGGAATGCTCCACTGATGAGGCAGACCCATAGACATCAACTCTTAGGGAGGGAAGGTCCAGGGAGCCCCCTTTTTGTGGGTCACATGAAGGTGGAAGGCTCTAGAAATCATCTGGCCTCCAGGCAACTGAGCACCCCCAGCTTTGCATGCCAGCACTCCTTTGTCATCAGCCCATCTGTCAGGCAGATGAGCTGGCAGAAGATCAGACAGGTACAATGAAAACCTGCTTGTTTGCCAGCACACCTTCCTCCCATAGGCCCTTATCATGTGGCATCTCAGCTTTGTCTGAAATCCAGTGGGAATGTGCTCACTTGGAGCTTCCCCAGCCAGCACTACAGTTTAACCCTGACCAACAGCTGCAGGCTGAGATAATGTTTGTGGGCACAAATTTCTGTGCAAATATATGTTTCATCTATTTTATACTTTTTATGAATGTAAACAGAGCTAATCAGTGAAAATAATACTTTGAAAAGTTGAAAGACCTGTTTTTATTAACCTTGAAAGTAACTCCCCTTGAGAGCTTTTCTTTCACCAGTTTAAAAATTTAGTATTGTATTTACTGTCCTTGTTGTTAAGGAAATATTTTAATGAAGCAAAGTGGGTAATGACTTGCAGACCTCTGATTATCACAGGAGCAGAACATTAGAGATTGTTAAAAGAAATAGGCTACCTCTTATGCTAAAGGTGGAATAATCTACAGGACCTTTGAGCCTGCCCTGTAATTCCATACTCCTTGGAGCTGTCAGAGTTTCCGGAACTCCATGGAATAGAGGATTTGTGTTTTCTAAGACATAGCACTACCAGATTGCTGAGACATAGCACTGCCAGAATACTTTTTATTTGCAAATAAGTCCTGTCCTTTCTCCTGGCTGTACTTTTTTCCATTTATTTTCTTAGTTTTACATATATATAAAACTAAAGAACCATGGGAATCAACTATCCCCATGGACATAAATTATTAATCAAAATATAGTGATTTAGTAGCATCAAAAAATTGTGCAATGAACTTTTCTAATTAACTGTTATATGAAAAGCAGAAAAAAATGCAGCTAATTTATGGAGTTGGTTGGTTGGATTGAAGACAAGGGAAAATGCTAAATGATTGACTTTGTTTTGACTCCATGTTTTGACTTTTTATCTTTTCCCTCTTTTAACTCTGATTAAAGTACCATTATCAAATTTACAATGGTAAGAACAACATGAAGCTCTCCTCATGAAAATCTCCGATTTCTAGAACAAAAAACACAACACAGCATAAGGAATGAGAATCCAAGCATCTCATTATGAGATAACACTGGAAAATAATGGTAAGGGGAAGGTTTCCAGAGAAAGAACATCTGTTTCATGAGATATGGAAAAAAAAAAAAAAAAACCAAAAAAAAACAACCCCAAAACAAGCAAACAAAAATCTCGTGAGGTACCTTAGATTAATACAAAACAAAAATTGAAATTCTCATCCTGTTATTAGAGATGCAGGATTTGATACATTACATCCTCTTATTCTTTCTGCCGTTTCACTCATTGCTTTGCCTTTGCTTCTTAGACACTTGTTCATATAGAACCAAAATCAAGATAAAGCAACAGGGTTTACCTCAAACTGGTAATGTATCAAATCATGCAGAAATCAAAGCCATTTTGGGAATCCTGGGAAATCTGCTCTCAGTGTTACAGCTATTAGTACCCATTCAATGGTTACAATCTAAGATTTGGGAAAATTTCCCTATTGTGCCATTCACGAGCGCAAGTTTCATTGTGCCATTGCTTAAAGTTAGCTATCTTTCCAGAACTTGCTTGACTCAAGATGGATATTAAAGCAGATGGTTTAACACTTTCCCAGCTGGGGTCTTTTCTCTTTTTCTTTATTTTTTCTTCTTCAATAAAAGTGACTGTAAGTTTTTTGCCACTCAGCATATTCACGTGACATATTACATGTTCACTCACCATATTACGTGTCAGAATGTAATTTCTTTCCTTCTAAAATTCTTACCTTTCCATCTAATATTGTATTTTAATAAGGACTCGCTGTTATGCATCTACTATTGTATCCTAAATAATCCCATCATAAATCAGGGATTATTTCCTATCTAAAAATTATATATCTTCTTAAAAACAATCAGCTGTTTTAACATGTATCAGTTGACTCAAAATACACAGTGAGGAGGGATTTTCCTAGGTTTGGGAGAGTTTAAAAATGTCACCCCATCTTTCCAGCATGGCTGGAAATGAGTAGATCTATTCAGAATTATGGTTTGCTGGTTGAGAATAACTTTCACTTTTGAAGCTGCCTGAGTTGTGCTTTTATCAGTGGAGCTTTTTTTTTTTTTTTTGTACAAACTTACACCTGTGGTTTACTACCCAAATTATCATGTGGAAGAGCCCATGTATATAGACTGTTCCAGTAAACCACACAAGAATAGTCTTGATTTTAATGGGTTGAATAATCTCATTCTGAAAGCTAAGAATTCTTGAGTACAAATACTTCAAAGTGAACTTCAAGGGAAGAAAACGAGCTGGAAGTTTATCCTTCTAGCATAAGCTTCAGCCTGCCAAAACCTACCAAACTGAATCTAAAAGCACATTTTGGCATTCCAGACCAGCACTGTCTTCCACTTCAGGATCAAGCTTTACACAGAACTCAGATTTTTAACCCCAAATTTCCCCACATAGACAGGTCTAGGCACAGTGGTCTACGCAGAAGCAACTTCATTTGAAGAGTCAGGGGTTTTGCTCCTGATTAATCTTCTCACAACTGAGACCCAAAGCAAGAAGTACCTACATGAGGAAGCAGAAAATAAAGTTACTGGAGGTGATTCACTTCCCCCTTTTTTCTCTTTTACGAAGCAATCTCCAGCTATTACTAACTTAAACATTCCTGACGTTAATATTATATTTTTACCCCAACAGCTCCTCTTCCTCACAAAGTTGTGTTCCCTATGTCCAAAACTTCCCAGTGCAGCAGAATGCTCTAACCTTCCCTGATCTGACTTAGCTTACATTAACTGCACTTGTCCAGAAGCCTCAGCCTGGGCATTTTTATCCAAAATCATAGCTGGAGGATCTACAGTTCGTTTTCCATACAAATCCCAGCAGTTAGATTTTTATACCAACAGAAGACTTGAGATCATATCTCTTTTCATTCTAAACAGTTTTGACACTGAAACTGCCACTTTACAGAAGAAAATCTGAGTTTCCAGGCTACAGGAAGGAAAACTGACCACTCTTATTTCCCAGCATGAGCAGAGGAGTAGCAGGACAGGCCAGAAGCAGAGCTAGTGAAAGGTGGTATGATGGGGTAACATCATCAATGAAGACATGTAGAAATGAGCAGCATGGGTTCTCAGCTCCCTAGATAACTTCAGAGTTTAATTCACCAAGTGAAATACAAAAATTAAATGGTTATATTAAGTGGAGCTGCATTAAATGTCTGAATTAGAGTATATTATTTTAAGAGAATATAACCACAAGTGGTAATCTAAGTATAACTGCAACCACGCAATATGTGCAACTGAAATAGAGTGCCGTGTTGGCAAAACATTGGGCTGTTTCCTAGCTCAAAGCTGCATGGATCAAGCAAGCAGCAATTGTGAGGCTTTTGCATTAACTTACTGAGCTCCCATCACAGCTTGGAGAGGAGCAGCCAGTCACGCTGTAGACAGCTCAGATAAGTGTTCCTTGAAGACTGACATGTTGTTCCCAACTCTCTTGTCTAATTAAAGACCCAAAACATTATTCTACTGCAGCTGATGGCAGCACTCACTTGACATCAAAGGGAATCAAGATTTGCCATTCATTTATGAAGAACTATTTTTACCATATGATTAAAAAAAAAAAAAAAAATAAAAAAAAAAAAAGCCAATTCACAGTGCATCCCGTGGTAGCACTTTGTGTCTACGTGCTGGCAGACCCCAGTTCCACAGTGCCTCAGAGGTCCCACTTGGAGCCAAGAGATCAGCTCCACAATGAGGTTTGCAGTGTATGAACCAAGTTCCAGTCATCTCCAGAGATCCCAGCTCTGGCAGGAATCCCAGCCTGCTGTTCAACTGGCAAACATGCTGGAAGAGTGAAGAGCTTGCAGGCTAAATAGCCAAAGATACAAAAAACTCCATTGTGCAGATAAGAAGGCATATGCCAGGTGGCTCTCCTGAGTCTCCTGCTTTGTTTTGTGTAAGACTGTAACTGAAGATAGTTTACAATCAGGGCATAAGTGCTGAAAGAACTGTGAAAAATTAGGGATTACATCTGAGTCTGGAAAGCCTTGGCTCCCAAATAAATGGGGAGAAAAGGGAAAGATCTCCAACCTTAAAATTGTGATATTATTAATTACCATTCTCCAGTTGAAATGTTGAACAATAAGGTCTCAAAAAAGGAATCAAATGCGACAAAAATTTCTACCTCCACAGAATTTTAATTTGGATTTTAGGCAAGGAAATATTTTTGCATAATTTATTGTTGCTGCTCTATAGAGACCTGCTGCTTCAGTCATAGTATGGTAAGATAATTCTAAATGGAACGTCTTGTGTGAAACCAAACTCTAATCTGTGTTTTGTATTTTAATGAAGATTCTTTCGCAACATATTCCATTCTGGCTAATGAGATAGTAGCAATAAATGCACCAGAAAGGACAGATGGAAGATAGCCAGCTGTCTGAATCAGAAGATTTTCAAAGTGCAGTAAACAAATGAAGCACACTTTTCTGGCTCGAGGCCAAGCTATACTCTAGGGAACTGGTCAAAGAGTGGATCATGAAAAGCTTTTTGAGAGCAGCTAAATTCTACAGCTGTGGTCTTTGTTTTTCTAGTACTTTGCAAGAACAGAAGGGGGAATTACGAAAGCGCCTATCGTACACTACCCATAAGCTGGAAATGCTTGAAACAGAGTTTGACTCTACACGTCAGTATCTTGAAATAGAATTGAGACGTGCTCAGGAGGAACTTGAAAAAGTAACTGAAAAGCTGAGAAGGTTAGTAATGAACTTTTTGAAATAAATAGAGTTATTAGAATTTTAAGAGTGGCTGTATAAAAGGTGGATGTAAGTAAAAGCAAACACAGTTGCAGACATGCATGATTTATTATTTATTGATTACACATTATGTTTTGTATTTAATATATAGATTTCATTTACCTGAAGGCCACATAAAGTTATTTACATGTGATATGTAAGATGTCTCTGTACTAAAAGCAAATATGCAACTAGAAATACACCTATATATGTGCAAATATAAAATTATTTATGTATAAATGTACATGTGGAGTATTGCCAGATGGCATTACACATAGAAATGTTATAAACCCACTACATATATACACATATATTATTTATACTCTATATATATAGATAAATCTTTTATTCAATGACTTTGCACATTTTCTTTGTTTAGACTTCATTGTGCTGATACAAGAGAATAGAATTTGGCTCTCCATTACTCAAAGCTGAGACTGTTCAATTGAAACAACATTCAGGCATTTTGCATTATAGTACAGCAAACAATTTACTTTTACCAAGCAGAATGGAATGCTGCTGAAAAGATATTATTTAAAACTGTTGTAGCTGTGGTACAGTGCTGTGCAAATGGGAAACCCAGTTAATGTTAGTGATAAATTATGTTAAGCTTGTGCTTCTGACATTTCTGGCACTGATTAAAATGGTCTGTAGACTTAGCCTAAAATTTATCATGATTCTTAATATCCACTTTTGCATTTGTTCTCAAAACTTCTGAAACTAGAATTATCCACTTATGCAGGAATGTATTTGTATGTCTTGTGAGCCTTTCTTAAACTGCTATCTTAATGGAACTATTTGATTAATTCATTGGATGACTCAAAATGAAATTCACAATAAATCATTCCAGGGCAATACCCAAAGAAATATTTTTCATTCCTTGTGGAAGGCAAAAACCAAAACAATGACAGAAAACACCAATAAACTGAGTCAACCAAACCATTTAATGAAAATTTTAAACAGGATGGGTCTGTAAGATCTCAAATTAGGAAACCGCCTAGTGTGGTCTTATAACTTAAATGCTTCTCTAACTGGGGATGCTTCTCAAAATAAGACTAAAATATGCAGATATCGTGGTGATTTTGAAATCTGCACACATCTATCCAGAGCAGTCTGGAGGTTCTCCATATATTTTTCTTGTCAATATATTTTTCCTATTTTTTTACCTAGAGCAGAGCCACTGAAAGTAACTTCATTCTTGATGTAGTTTTGCTTCGATACATTCCAGGGCAGGGAACACTGGTTCTCTCTTCCCTTGAAGCATCAATCTGGGGAGCTGCCACAAAGCAGCAGAGGGGCTGTCCATCCCGCTTCTGTTAAAAGTTAAAAGATGGGCTCCCTGGTCAGTAGAAAGCCTCTTATCAACTGCACTGGGCACCAGTGAGTTAAGCACCCTTTGAAACTCGGCCAGGGGCTCACAGCCAAGTCTAGCACTCATACCAGAACACCACGTTAGCAGAACTGACTTTCCAATATTCTAATGGAACATTGTACCATATTATGAAGAAAACTTATATTAAAAATTATGTTTCAGGCAGGTGATTACTCCCCTGAAGACATATCATAATGGAAGCCAAAAATATTTTACGAGGTGAGCTTTAAAAATGTTTCTATTGAGAATAGCAAGGCATCCTGCAAGTGGAACATCTAGATTTGTCAGCCTGGAGAAGGATAATGTCTGAAAAAAACCTGTCATCCAAAAGCTTGTCAGCAACATGTCACAGAGGAAAATCAATGTGAGAAAAACAAAGTAGAATTAGTTTCAATTATGTGTCTCTTCCTTTATTCACTGCACAGGGAGAGAATTCATTCCCCCATAGATGAATAGGCCCTGTGAAACAAGATCCCACTCGTACACTGGAGAACATTTCTGTTATTAAATTTCCTTTTCTGTAAAGTGCAATATTTTTTTTTTCCAAGAGGCTGAATGACTGTCCTTTTGTAATCCTTTCTGAAAGTCTTTATCTTAATTTACCCAGAATTGCCTGTGCTGTTGCTAGGCTTCCCCAGTTTTACTCAGGAGAGGAGGTCACTTGTGTGGTTCAATGGTCAAGTTTTCAACCTCTCTACAAACATTCAGAGATGGCCTCTTTCTTTTTTCTCAGTGGGAGAACAGTACTAACTAGATTTGAAAATTATAACTGTAAAGTATAGGTTCAGCTTTGAAAAGTGACTGAAAAGAGAGGGAATTTCATATTCCTTGCAGTGGTCCCTTATCTGACATGGTCAGCACTGCTTTTATAAGTTAAAATCTAAAAAATTTCAAAATCCAAACTTGGAACCACATCTGGACTCCAAAGTTCACTTTGGGTTTTTTCCTTGAGGCTTTGCCCTGGGTAACTACTTGATGAGGTCCCTGTTCTACCTTTTAACATAAAGTGGAGTTATTTTAAGACATGGGAAGTAAACTCACAAAAGCCTATATTTAGCACTGAGATTAGCCCACACATATAATTATTTCACCAAAAGCAAGACATTTCACAGACTGAAGGGGTGTTATGAACAGGAATCCTGGAGGAAAAACTATTGTTTTCATAAGAATGTTGGTATAACTTGTGATAACAGAGAGAGAAAATTTTTTTGAACAAGAAGTTACTCTTTCAAGAGTCACTTTTCAAAGCTAACTACACTCGAGAAGAAATTCTCTTCTTTAAAGAAAGTCAGCCCAAGAGTAAGCTTTACTCTAAATGTATTTATTGGCCTTAAGAGGGCTTGAGATTGAGTGGAAGCAGAGAAATAGAGGCTTTTGCAGACTCCCTCTTCAGTGGTGATCTGCAGCCTCAGGGAGGAGTGTGCTGTCGGGTGGGTTAGAGCACAGACACCTGACATCTTCAATATGGTCGGAATATTTTTCATTTGGCTCTTATTTGGTCAAGAATCTAAACCTTTTTTTAATGGATGCACATATGTGCACCTGAAGTCACATGAGTATCTCCTAATGACATGAACGACACAAAAATACATCAACACATGATAATAGGTTATCAAATCACATGTGTTTATCCTTATAGCAATTTTACAGCACAGTGAAACCTACCCTTCATTTTATTTTCAAAGCCAGATTTACAAGGTTAAAATATTTCATACTTCACAATGTTCAGGCTATCTGGGTGTATTTTTTCTGCAAACAAGGTTAAGTTACCATTTGTTCATCAGATCATTTTCAAATTTGAATAAATTTCCCTACTTTTTATTTCCCCTTTTCTTTATTTTACAGTTTTGTCTAAAGATTGATCTGACTCTGTTCCTCTTTTATCCCTTAAACACTTTCTTCCATGTATTTCTGGGTCCATTTCTCTCCTTGCCACCTACATTTGCTGACACTTCTTTTGGCACAGTGAATTTCCAATTTGGGGTTTATACATATACGTGCATGTGTATGTGCTTGTGTACATGTGTATGTGTTTGTGCTTATTTTGACTACTTTTGCATACTGTTCTCAATAGAAACACTTTTTGAAGCTTCCTACTTACTGTGGATTTTTTTTTAGATTTGATTTGATTGTACTGGAAGTTGGTCATTTTCTCAGTGCAAAATGAATGTGTTAGAGAACTAGAGTTTATGGGCTACTTTCACCTAAACATGAAACAGGCAAAAATTGGATGGGTAAAGGCAAAAGAAGCTACAAAGCGGGAAACAGATTGTGATAAACTCCTGCAAAACCCTCTACAACCATCTATGGCATAGAAGTGTTGTCACTGAAAAATAATTAGTGATAATTAACATTTCAATCATCCATATCAAGAGCAAAAGTGAAAACAGAAGCTGAGGAACCAACCCATTGTTACCATGATAAGTCTGCTATCCAAGCAGCAATTACTGCTGGTTTTATTCATGGTCTCAAAGTTGTGGAAAGGGAACCTTCAGTGTCTCCCTTGAGCTGTCCACATCAGCAACCACTGCAGAACAGCCTGTGGTGCAGGGGTACTTGGGCTAGAAAAACCCTGAACCAAATTTTTTCCCCCCTTTACTTTCAGTAAGTTATGCAAGTGCTTTTGAACCCATGCAAACTTTTGGGGCATTGCAGGTACTAATGTTTAAATCAGTTTTTACACCACCTCCACTTGAACCACAAACTGCCTGGGTGCAAAGTAAGTTTAACCTGTTCTATTTTGCTTTACTAGACAAAAACTATAAACCATGACAGAGAAGATGCTGGGGCACTTCTAGGCTCAGCCAGAAGGCACTATTTTACTGTTACTTTTACTCTAAATCCTTTCTTCCTGCATCATGGCATGCATCCTTACAGCAAAACAAAATATTTGTGCTGAGTAGCTACAGGCTAAGTCATTTTAACCCTCCTTGTATCAAGATCATCTCTGCTTTCTTCTGTACCACAAAAAGATGGGTACAGAGTGCCCTGAAACTTGTCTCTGTGGTGTTGACAGCTAAATGGCTGGGAAAATCCCAAGTAAACCTAGAGCTGCACAAATCAACGTCTATAGAGGGGCTTAGTGGCAAATGCTGTGAGGAGCATGGACAATGCAGAGACTTGTAAACTTCAGTCAATCCTTTAAGTCACCTGGACACAAACACAATAGCACTATGAGAATTGGTGAGTGTTGACCAAGTCTCACAATGCAAGTCTCAGAGATTTTCAGCCCATTTGGGTCACCACCTTAGCAAACACTATTTGCCACAGATCCTCCTCACAGAAAGGAAGTCTCTGCTCAGCAGATCTGTAAAAGCTGGCAACATTGAGACTTCCCCCAGTGCATATTGGAATGGCTGCCCTGATTGTGGGCTGACTCTTGGTACCCTGAGGAGGTTCACCCGTGGGGATGTCATTATTTATCCAGCAGATCTGTAAAAGGTGGCAACATTGAGACTTCCCCCTGATTGTGGGCTGACCCTTGGTACCCTGAGGAGGTTCACCCGTGGGGATGTCATTATTTATATCCACAGAGCAGATGTCCTTGGCACAGACATCCCCTCTCAGGTCTGTCAGCAGATGTTATTGCAATGCTGGGAGACCCAGCCAGAGCTCTGCATCCCTTAAGAGGAGCACTGCAAGCCACTGGTCTGCCCTGAATGGAGAATTCTTATCATTTAACTGGAAAGAAAATCTCCATGGCAACAGAAGTCGAGATAAGCACCACATTGCCAAGAAGGGGTGGGCTGGACCTTTTGATTTGTGGCTATGGCATGTTTGGAAAACAGATCATTCCAGTTTCAGCAGCCACTCCTAACCAAATGATAAACAAAGAGACTTCTTTAATCCAAGTCCCATCCTGATAACCACAGAAACTACACCCAGATCCACATTTCTGAGAGGAAATGTGTTTTGCTGTATAAATGTGGATTACATCTGAGTTCAGTCTTACAGTGAAAACACTTGCACATTTCCTAAAATCTCCTCACTGCTGAAAATACTTTGACCTATTGATCAGTACAGCCATACAGATTTATTCAGACAAAATTTTCACAGCTGAGCTTCTAACATTTGCTTTACCTTTGTTATACATCATGCTGAGGTGATGGGTACTAATGAACTATCCTCCTTAGATTCTGTGGAGATAAAGCTACAGCTACTACCAAAATTCCAATGGTTTTCCCATAGGCTGTGCAGCTTGTTCATTACAATACCAAGGTTACCATCTAAAGAGGTGCAGGCTGAAACTTTTCTTTGGTGTGTTGCTCTGGAATAAGTAGGGAAGCCTCATTTTGTGAGCTCATTCAATCCCTAAGTGCTGATAAAAATAAATACCCATCTTTTCTCAGCTAAGCTAGCTAAATATACTTCCTGGAAAAAACAGGCAACTTTTTGAACTTTTGTTGAAAGAAGAAATATTCTCTTCTAAGTCACATGTTGATGCCCACATGTTGCTACAGTCATTAGGATTCTGCTGCAATTTCACAATAAATCTTTTTTGTGCTGCCTCAGCCTAGAGCTCAAGCTTCCTCTCTTACACACTATTCTTGAGCGTGATGTAAAACTGTAATTACCTTGTGCAAGTTCCTAGGCTGTAACTTATGTCTGCACACAAGTGCAGAACAACCAACATATCTTCACTTCCTGCTGGAATGTGCTGCTAAATATAGTAAGAAAATATGACAAGTTTGGAAGTTTGCTTAGGAAGCAGGTGGTAATTGCATTTCAAAGGCAACCACTGACTGGTAACAGGAGTGATAAGCAAATAGAATTCGAGTAGTGCAAGCCAAGGTTTTGTACTGATGTGAAAATACAGGTAAAAAAACCAACTTGAAAAGCAATGCATTCAGTTACATGATATCATCTTTGTTTTAGGATACAAAACAATTACCTAGCCTTACAAAGAATTAATCAGGATCTGGAGGATAAACTTTACAGAATGGTAAGTTATCACAAGTGCTTTTTTAATATATTAAATGTGGTTTTGTGGTTCTTAAGTCACTGGAAAAACATGTATGTAGTTGTCACAAAAACACCCTCAAGCCCTAAAAGCAGTTATGCTTAGAAAAGATATCATGATGAAGAGCTCAAGCTGTGTACAATGATATAGCTCCACCAATTTAAATAGAGATTGCATAGACTGATGATCTAGCTGAGCAAATTGTACCTTTAAAATAATTTTGGTTAATTTAGTTAATAACTTCATGGAATCTAAATATTTATGTTTTCATTAAGTATCAAATTTAAATAAGGTAATCCAGGATTTTCTCATGCTTCTTAGCTATTTCCACTCAGCTTTTATTAAGTCATTTAATAGAGTTTGGGTGGCTTGACTTTTAAATTCCTTCATAACTATCAAGCTCAGTATATTAATTTCCAATCTGCATGTGTCTGCCACCACAATGTCAATGTCACTCTCACAGGCCAATTAATAATCAAGTGAGGAAAATACTGCAGCCTTTGTGGGCTGCACATTGCAAGACACAGCACCACTGGTTCCAAAGAGGTTGAAGATGCCAAAAAGAAATGGCAAAGCCACTGGGGCCCTGGCTCATTGCTGATGATGTTGGGACACTGTGCTCACTGTTAGGGGTAAAACTACAAAGGAATGTGAGGATAATGTTTAGAGAGGAAAGAATGACAATTTGGAACTTCCAAAGATCTCACGTAGCAATTGCATGGATGGGGGGGAAACAATTTATTATGGATTTTGAGTAAACACGGATTATAGCATAGAGGAGAGGCACCAGCCTTTACTAATAAACAAATTTTTGAAAATGCCATTGTTCTTATCTCAGAATCCTATTTCAATAGTTAACAATGAAGAGGGGACTGAGCTTTTGCAACTGGCTAACAGGGTAAAATTACAGCCGGGCTGTAGCTGACATTTGTTCATAAATACGTGTTTAAACATTGTAAAAGCATAAATAGCATTTGGTCTCAGGTTATTGCTTTTTTTTCTCCACTCTTCCTTTGTTGATTTTTCTTTTTGCCCAAATCACTTCAGGATTTTTTCTTCACCTGTAGCCCAACATTTATTACCTATGCACCACAAAAGATAAATAGAGTCATTCAGGCTGGTAAATGAAATAAAAATAATGGAAACGCCCAAAGGAGGACTCCAGAAAATCCATGTGTTTTTATCAGGTATTTCACATCAAAGCAAAGAATTTTTAAACTGCTGTTTCCGCATTCAGTTAAATCCTTGAGAAATTATTTCAGCACAGCACAGAAAAACTGAAAACCAGTCCTGTGGAGCACTGTGCCTTCCTTTATCCCACTAATATGACAGTCATTGAAGATAGGTTTAGAGGCTTGAGGAAGATCAATCAGGCTCTGTACACAACTTAACTCCAGACTGCTTTGCTTTCTGAAAAATATTGAAACTGAAGACACAAAACAAACCAAAACAAATGTCAAATAGAAACTCCATTAAAAGGAAAAAGATGAGGAAGAAAGTACCATATCTGATTTAGATAAGTCAAACCTTTTGATTTTCAGGGCACTCCAAGAGCCCTGAATACTTCAGAGACACTTAAATTAAATAACAGCTGGTCTGGTTGATCAGCAGCTTATGGTGGACTGGGCTCTTGGATACCTTTCTCTCCCCTTCCTGCTTAGGAGGAACAGCTGTGTGTATTTATTGTTTTGTTTTGTTTAGTTTGCCATTCTAAAATCTAACACTTCTGATTTCTCTACCCTTACACAAATCCAAATCTATAAAGCATGTGTTTACTTTCTCTCTCCCCTATCCCATCCCTGTGCATACACACGTGTGAATACACACACACATACACACACACACACACGTTTTTACTATTTGATGGGCTCAAATTCAGCAAGCAGGAAAAGAAAGACCCCCAGGCAGTGGTCCCTTGCTCCCCTTGCCTGCAGATAACATGGGATGCTCCCAGGAGTTGAGTTGCTCCCTGCCCTAACAGGTGACTCACAATTCCCCCTCTCCCAGTGACTGGTCCCCACTCATTGCAACTTATCTAGGACTCCACTGGGACCTCCCTTTTCTAACATTTTTGGTATCCTGAATGTTAAAACCTTTCATGCCTGCTATTGGTATGAGATATAAAAAAATAATCATTAATTCATCAGCAGTCACAGAAAAGAAGCTGATGCAGCAGTTGCTTTTCTTCTAGGCTCTTCTTCCTTTTGGGTGCTAACCTATAAAATATTTAAAAATATTTGAAAACACACTTCTGATCACAGCAAATGGTATCCAATTGAAACCTCTGTCACATCAGAACTTAAAGTATAAATATAACATATGAACCATGGTGTCTGACTTGGCCAAGTGCTAAAAAATGTAACCCTGAAATCAGGGTAGAGCTTGCTGTATTAAACTGGGCAAGACTAAACACATGGAACAGTAGAGGAATGTGGCACAGCGTTAAAATTCTGCTGTAATTCCTCATAAAACTTCTGACTGCAGTAAGTGTCTTCAACTGGAGAAGATTTCTTTAGTCTTGTAAGAACTGGTTAAGAAGTGGAACATACAGGCTGTCTGCCTAAATAATTAATCTTAATAACTCTTTTCTCCATTAAGATGTGGGAAAAGACTAAACAGAGTCCTCACATTTTGCGATTCCATCACAGCACTCTTCAATCAAAAAATTTTTATGATACTTAGTTCCAGTTGTCATCAGTAATCTTCACTTTCCTTTACACTTGTTTGAGCTTTTGGAGCTCTTCCATGGTCTTGCTGCTCACAAACAGCAATTACAAGTAGATTATGGAAGTCATCCCAACCACAAGAAATCCTTTATAAGAGCTCAATCCAGCTGTACTCTCTATATGAGCCTCTCTAGAATTAAGCAATGTATTTTAAAAAGCTTTTGAAGTTTTTAAGGTTTTTGGTTGCATTTAGTTCTGTAGTTTTACCTTTAATGTCATAAGCCAGATTTTTAACAGTATCCTCTTTTGGGAAGAACTGGTGCCTAATAATAGCTGCTTAATAAACCCTACTGCTAATGAAAATTGCACCCATTTCTCCTCCCCCATCTGCATTTTGAATGTTCTTGAAAACATGATCACAGAAATCCAGCTGCAAAGAGCTCAGGAGACCTTATTATCAAGAAACACCCTAAAATATGCCTCTTTTACAAAGTTTGACAGACAGACTGCTGGATGGTATCAGCTCTGGTTCCCACCTCTGCAAAGCCAGCACCAGCCCTCTGCACACAGTGCATTATACATTTTATGGTCTGTCATGATGAAAACTCTTACATTTTTACAATAAAAATGTACAAAATTTACAGCTGAATTTTACCATAGAACTTTCCCAATATTACACACCAAAGTCTGATTTTTCATTTACGTTAAGGCAGGCTGAGAGTGAGGATGCCATAAAGCTGGAAGAAATTATATATAAATAAAAATATATATATAAATAATCAAATTATATAGAATATAGAAATTATATATTATATAAATAAGCAGTAAAGAGGGATTTGTGTTAAGGATGATCATGTCTGAAATTCTGCACCTTCTGAGCACTGCACTGGTTTTCATCCCATTTCTGCCTCTCCCTGTGAGCTGGAGGAGGACTAAGAGGTACAGCAAATACTTTATGTTATTAAAAGTTATTTATCAAGCCCTTGAATATCTGGGGTTTCCCAGTTTTCTGGCCATAATATTTACTTAAGCACCTCCAAATATGAAATCCAAATATGAATTAAATGCGAGCTGGGCAGTTTTAAGTGGTGCTCTGAGACCTTGTGTCAGGGAAATGTTATTTTAAAAGAAGCAGATTGCTGGTTATCTGGGCCAGGGAGGTAAAGAATATGGGAAGTGGTGAGTAATTTGATGAAAAATTTCAGTGAGGCATTAAAAACATTTAAGTACCAGCTGTTTGGCTTTGGAATTTTAACCAGTCACTAGAATGCACATAATTCTCTTGTGATACCTAGCAGTCACAACTACAATATGGTTAAAATCATAAGTGAAAGATGAAAACAATGGAGACAAATCCTTTTTCTCACAAAAATATAAGGAAAACAGAAGTCCAGCATCCTTGGGTTCTTGAATGGAACATGATGACTTTGATAGTGACTTTGAACAGAGTGAAAATAAAAATTATATATAAATAATCAAATTATATAGAATATAGAAATTATATATTATATATTAGAATATATATAGAATATATATATTATATAAACAAGCAGTAAAGAGGGATTTGTGTTAAGGATGATCATGTCTGAAATTCTGCACCTTCTGAGCACTGCACTGGTTTTCATCCCATTTCTGCCTCTCCCTGTGAGCTGGAGGAGGACTAAGAGGTACAGCAAATACTTTATGTTATTAAAAGTTATTTATCAAGCCCTTGAATATCTGGGGTTTCCCAGTTTTCTGGCCATAATATTTACTTAAGCACCTCCAAATATGAAATCCAAATATGAATTAAATGCGAGCTGGGCAGTTTTAAGTGGTGCTCTGAGACCTTGTGTCAGGGAAATGTTATTTTAAAAGAAGCAGATTGCTGGTTATCTGGGCCAGGGAGGTAAAGAATATGGGAAGTGGTGAGTAATTTGATGAAAAATTTCAGTGAGGCATTAAAAACATTTAAGTACCAGCTGTTTGGCTTTGGAATTTTAACCAGTCACTAGAATGCACATAATTCTCTTGTGATACCTAGCAGTCACAACTACAATATGGTTAAAATCATAAGTGAAAGATGAAAACAATGGAGACAAATCCTTTTTCTCACAAAAATATAAGGAAAACAGAAGTCCAGCATCCTTGGGTTCTTGAATGGAACATGATGACTTTGATAGTGACTTTGAACAGAGTGATTTCAAGCCCATCTTTTTCATTTTCTTTCCTTTATGGAAGAAGACGTTTCTCTCCCTCCCCCATGTCCCATGAAAATCAAATAGAGATGGCCTAAATATATTTAAAAGGATTTGCATCCCAAAGACAAGAAAGTTT